TCCTGGCTTCCTTCCCATCCTTCCTGCATAAAGAACACCACCACCTCGGAATCTGCTTCCCGGGGTAACCCAACATGGGACAATTACATTTTAAATTTTGTTTATTAATGCCACAAAAGTCACACACTGTGGTACTTTGCCTGTGGAAGTAGAGGCATCCCTTTTAATGCTGCAAGGCCAAGAAGTGGTAGAAATGAGGAAAAAGAAGCCATGGTTCTAATCAAACAGGAATGAGGCAGATATAAACCAATTATATATGAGATGCAGTTTCAGTTTCTGAACAAAACGAGAAATATATAAAAGGTCAGCACAGCCAGTGAAACTGAAAGCTAAGAACATAGAGAAGGCAGCCATACAGGATGATGAAGGAGAGAGATGTCTCAGAGGTGGAGAACAAGAATGGCATTGCTAAAGGAGGGAAGCTAACTAAACAGACTAAACACATCCAGCCAAAAATAAGGGGGTAAAATGCCCATCCAAAGGAGGGCCCTCTTCTTCAAGAACCTACATCTATTTCACAAGAGTGAGTCCATAGTATGACAAGGGCAGATGTCATGCTGGGAATTCCCTTCAAGTAGGCTCAGTGTTGAACTGATGCTACTGCAGAGGCCTGGTAGATTCCCATGGTGTTTGCCACTAGGCGGAACCTTTACTGAGAACTTTCCCAACAACTGAAGGACTGAGATGACAGACAGACCTGCTCCCTGGAGAGAAGACTAGTGATGCTGCTCTGCCTGTGGTTGTACCCAACTGGTGGCATCTGGTCCTCTCCTCTGTTGGACTGTGACTTCCAAGAGAGTAGGGGTGCTGGGGTGAGTAAGGAGGTGACTGAAATTTAAGATAAGTTGGTTAACAAAGGCATTACTGAGAAGATGAATCTGGACAAGCAACCAAAAGGGGAGAAGGAGTCAGTTTTACAGACATATGAAAGAAGAGTGGCTATGTAGATAGAAAGGAAAGTGCCATGAGCAAGAATGATGCTCATGCCCAAAGTTCCTCCAGTAAGGCAGCCAGTGTAGCTGAGGATGAATAGACAGGCTGAGGTCAGGGAGATGGGGCTGGATAATATAGGACCTTCTGAACTTCTACTTGGAGAAGGTGGGAAGCAATGGGGACATAATTGGGTAGAATGACATCATCTAATACTCCTACTGTCCTCCTCTGGGTTTATTTTATCCATGGTATTTTTCACATCTGACAAGTAACACATGCTGTGTGATTACTGATTATCTCAACCACTCAGAATAGAAGTTCTGTGAGGGCAGGTATTTTCTGTCTGTTTTCTTTGTAGAGTCATGTCCCCTTGTCTCATGCTCAGTAGATAATCAACATTCATTGAATGAATCAACACATGTTGAGAAGAACCTGAAGTTCTTTCATAAATGGCATTATGAATCCAGATAAAGAGAAAAATGTTTCTTAATCCCTGGCAGGTTTACATCTAAACCACTGCAGTGAGGCCAAAACAACAAATATGTTATTTATTATCTTTTTCAGGTTTATTTATTATCTTTTTTGGTTTTAGGAGAGGCCCTAAAACCAAATACATTTCTAATTTCTTAAAACTGGATTCTGTGGTTCAGGGGAAATTCACAGAAGCATCAGTAGGCTGGGAGGTTTCACGTTTATGGGCTCCATTCACTAAGTACATATGGAGCAACAGTATCTATGAGAGGCTCAGTCCAGAGGGAGGGGAATACTACAAGTACACTTGCTTCCTCCCTATCAGGATAACCACTCTCCTGTGCACCTTGCTGACCCAGGTGAATCTCAGGTATGCCCACGGGTTGCAAAAAAGTTCTGGATTCATTAGAAAAAGAAAATGTGTCCTTTTCCTATACAAATGTTTCCAACATACCAATAGTTTATCATCCCAAAAGTTTTAAAAAAGTTAATTGGAATGAGCTTTCCCAATACTTATATTTCCAAATCAGTCCACAGACTCAAAATATAACTAAAATGATTTATGTTTTCAATGGGAAGGAAGGAGGCTCTGTGTGTGTGTGTGTGTGTGTAGGGGGGCTGCTGGCCAGTATGTGCTGACAGAAGAGTCAGGAGAGGTCTATGGTTCTGCCTCCCCTCTGGAAACAAGGCTCTCACCCACTGTCACCATTAGCTTTTTCATCAGTAAAAGCCCTTTGTGAGTTTACACATTGCATCTTCAATGCTATGCTTCACTGAAAAAAATGGACTACCTTACAAATCACACATGCTGAGGGTTAAATGATATAATACATACAATGTATTAGCACAATGCCTGGGCCACGGTGAGCCCTCAATAAACACCAGCACTCCTTGTGATGATAACACTGTCTGTGGAACTCTTAGTTCCCATTATAGGTTGGTGCAGTCATCCCTGGAAAATAATACTCATGGAGAAGTTACACAGAAAGGGACATGCCCAGGAGCCTGGGTGTCTCAGACCAGGCACCAGACACATGAGCAAACCTTCAATGATTCCATCCATCAGCCAATGAGTCTACCTTGTGGATGCCAGGTGGAATGAGGACAGGCTGTACAGGCACTGGGTGCTAAGTTACTGACTCAAGAAACTGTGAGAGAGAATTAATTTTTAAGTCATTAAGTTTTGAGATGGTTTGTCACTTAGCATCAGAAAACCAGAACACTCATTAATTGACTCCCCTGTCCACTTCTAACACAGAAACCATATCATGCTATTCTCTTATTTTAAAAAAGAGGTGGGGTTGGAAGTTGTGGTTCATGCCTGTAATCCCAGCTACTCAGGAAGAGGTGGGAAGAGGTAATGTTAGTGCAAGAACCTATCTGAAAACAAAGTAAAAGCAAAAGGACTGGGGGGCATGGCTCAAGTAGTAGAGTTCTTGAGGCCCTACGTTTAATCCCTAGTCCCGGTGAGGGGCGGGGGAGAAGAGGAGCAAGTGCCTTCATATCCTGCACAAGATAAAAAGAACCTGGAAGCTTCTCCAAGGACTGTGCATCTTGAGAGAAGGGACTGTAGCTTGTCTTCCAGTGATTTCTGAGGTCTCAGCAGTTCCTCACCTTGTGAGTGACTTCACAGCCAGGGGAAAAAAACTGAACAAGAGGAATTATGAAAACCATGTAGTCAGCAAGTACAGACATGGCTCCTTCCACCTGGCACTAAGAATACTATTAATCAGCCTCCCTTACAGAATTTGTGGATGTCATGATATAGCAATGAAAAGAGACAGATGAAAAAGACAATCACTACATGGATAAATCATGTATTACACTCTGAAATAATGAAAAGAATCCATCGGAGTAGTAGGAAGAGGCTGGTGAGTGGATGTGGGACATTTTATTAGGGTAGTAAGGAAAATCTCTGAGAATGTAACATTTCTGCTGAAATCTGCCCAATTGTGAAGCTATAGAAAGACCTGGGAGTACGAAGGAATAAGAAGTCACAGTAAGTGCAAAGGCCATGAAACTCTACTTTGGGTTTCCATGAAGCTGTGGGCACTCAGCTTTTTCAATGTGTTTGCACATGTATCTTGCTAAGAAAAATCTAAGATATCAAAATCTGGACTTTGCAAATTAAAATTCAGGTCTGATTATAGAGTGTTAAAAAATTTAGCATAGATTTTTATGATTAATTAGTATACTTCTGACTAACCTCATGACTCTTGGTACACCTTTTTACTCTCCAGCCCACACTGACAGCATCTCACTCCCACTGTACCCTCACCTCTTGCTTTCCACTCTGGGCCTTACTCAGCCACTACCATGTGGGGGATATCTGGAGGACACAGGTGAGCTACTCTGACACATGCAGTCTGGTGACAGACTTAAGACCCATGGGGCAACACTAGACCAGCAGACTATGAGACCAAGTGGGTGAGTAATGAATGCCTCTCCCCATTCCAATTCTCTCTGTTGGACAGTTCTAAAGTACATTCTTGGAGGGTTCCATGTGGGAGGAAGTCCAAGCTGCCCACAATGGTGACCAAGTTGATGAACAAACAATGACTGGGTTCCTTCCTTCTCTGTTAATTCATCCTAGTCCCAAATTCTGTTTTTTGGGATTATTCCTAAAAACAAAACAAAACAAAACAAAAAACTAATTTGCCTATAAACCCTTGACATGTTCTACCACTTTGAAGAAGAGGGCTAAAATAGCATTTCAATTCAATTTAGCAAAATGTGATTTATATTAAGTAATTTATGAATATTATTCATCCTATAGGGCAAACTATTTTCTAGGGAATGACAGAAAGAGTAAGAAAGTACTGGAATTTCCTTTCATAATTCTACCCAACATTAAAAAAACCCTGGCTTTTTTTGAGAGGTATATAAGTAGAAGTCTCTCTTCTCAAAGGTGAGTGGTGGCATTTGCTTTTTAAAATTTATGACTGCAAACTTTCAATGGGCTTTCACTTTGTGTCCCTAGTCTGTTAATCTTCCAATCTCCCAATTAACTGAATTTTAACTTTTCTCTCTCTTAAACCCCCAAACTTCCATCCCCATCTTCACCCTCAACTGTTTCCTAGTCCTCTGAGAAAAAGGGAGCATCAGAAGAAAACTCCCCTCCATCACCCAACACTCCGTCTACCCACTCTGCTCCCTTGATGGGCACCAAAATACACTATCCACTCTCCTATCACATTCGATGATCCTACTTATGCTCTTCAACCCATCCCTATTGCCTTGGGGATATTTTCCCAGAAAGTCTTCTGTTTCTCTTATATCAACTTTTGCTCGCTACTGGATAGTTTCCATTATTATACAAATACACCCTTAATATTGTCTTTTAAAAATAAAGGCAATGATCCCACTTGTTCTGATGGCTATAACCCATGTTTCTTTGCTCTTGTTTGTAGCAAAGCTTTTCCTTAGCATCAACTCACTCTTCATCTTACCTAAGACCAGCATCTTCACAAGCAACCACCCCCTCTCCCCTGAAGACCTTTCTGCATGTGCCTTCCAGGATTCCGCACCCTTCATTTCCCCTATTCTTTGATTTATCAGTCTCCATGTGCCTTATTCTTTCCTTCTTTCCTCCTTACCTCTTGAGATTGAATGCCAAACACTCCATCTCCAAGTCTCTTCGCTTCTCTGTTTCTATTCAAGCAATTGGAGTTCTCTTTTGGTCTCTGGCTTTAAATGCCACCTCAATGCTTTCAAATTCCAGACCTCTATCTCCTCACCTCCAGATTGTTATATCCAACTGTTTACTCTGAATATTTATTTTCTACAGTTGCTATGACTAACTACTACAGACTTAGTGGCTTAAGACAAAACAAACTTATTATCTTATAGTTTTGTAGGTTAGAGAGGAGTCTCCCTGGGCTAAAATCAAGGTACTGGCAGGGCTGTGTCCCCTTTTTGAGGCTCCAGGGGACAGTTTGCTTCTTTGCCATGTCTACCTTCTAAAGGCCATCCACTTGGCCCATGGCATTGATCTTCCATCTTCAAAATTAGCAACATTACATCTCTCTGACCGTTCTTCCAATGTCACATTGACCTCTGATCACCATGAGAAGAGTCTCTATTTTTAGGGACTTGTGTGAATAGGTTGGGGCTACCTAGCTAATCCAGAAAAAATTTGCCATCTCAAGGCTAACTTAATCCTATTTGCAATGTGCCTCTTGATGCTTAACGTGACATATGCACAGGCTATGGGGATTAGGATGTGGACATCTTTGGGGGGACCACTGTTCTACCTTTCACAGTATGCAGCTCAAGTTGGATGTTTAATAGACATCCCAAACTGAGTATGTTCAAACTGACTTCCAATTCTCCAGCACCACATGTCTCTCCACCTGCAGCTTTCTGTGTCTTAGCTGACAGCCACTCTGTCCTTCTGGTTGCTCAGAACTAAACCTGTGAATCATCTTTGGCTTCTCTTTCTCTCACACACATTCCACATTTGAGTCACACAGATATAGACTTTATCTTCAAAATATATGTAGACTTTGGCCACTTCTCACCATTCCATGACTCCTGTTATCCTGCCTAATTGGTCTTCCTGATTCTCCCCTTCTCTCTCAAAGTCTATTTTCAGAGCATACAATGTGATCCTTTTTAAAATTAAGTAAGTCATATTGCCTCCCTGCTTAAAATAGCTCACTTGGAATAAAAGCCAAAGCCCTTCATGGTAATCGCCCTCTACCAAGTTCTCTTTCTGACCACATCTCTTAGTCATCCCCTTGCTGTCACCACTCCAGCCACACTGGCCACCTTGCTGCACCTGTAATGCTCAGGTCTACATGGCTCTTTTCCTAGAACCCTCTTTCCCTACAGAGCTTGGCTAACTCCTTCAATCCCCAGGTTAGTTTTCTACTGCTGACATGACAAATCACCACAAACAAAGCAGCTTCCAACACCATCCATTTACTACCTCATAGTTCTGTAGGTGAGAAGTCAGAGAATAATATGTTTCAGCCGAGTCCTCTGCTTAACATCTTACAATGCCAAAATCGAGGTGTCAGCAGGGATGCATTCCTTTTTGGAGCCTTAGGGATGAATCACCTTCCAAGCTGCTTCCAGTTGGATTCAGTTTCTCCTGTCTGTAAGATGAGACCTTGGTTCCTTATTGGCTATCAGCAGCAGGCTGGGCTTTTTCCTCAACGCTGTCCCCTTCTTTCTTATGTTTTCCACGTGTGCTCTCTAGCACTGAAGGGTAGCAGCTCACCTTTTGAGTCACTCCATATTCCATCATGTCTCTCAAGAGGCTAACCACTGTGATTTCTCTACTTTTAAGGGCTTATTGACTAGGTTGGACTATTCATATAATCCAGGAAAATCTCAATATTTTAAGATAAGTAACTTTAATTAAGACTGAAAAGTTCCTTTAGCAATGGAATTTAACCTATTTATAGGTCCCAGGGATTGGGACATGGAGTTCTTTGGGGTTATTATACCTACCACAACCCTTTTCGGATAGTGCTATTTATACCATAACCCAAGAAGAAGATGGGTAAATCCCAAGGAATAGCTCTTGGAGTATTTCTCCATATCCATGGTCAATAACATCTAACCAGCTTAATTTCTCATTGATAAAGACTTATAATAATACTTCCTGAAAAAAATGTGTTCAATTATAATCTTTACAAAAATAAGAATGGTTTATTTTGAGATTATCCAAGTATTTAAGCAAAACAAATTGAGTTGTTGAATTAACCTGGTCTCAAAGTGCACAGAAAGATAAATGGGCTATATTAGTCATAAATGCTTTTTAAAACTTTCTACAAATGAAAAATGAACCACATTAGTTTAAGGAAGTACCATGAGAAATCAGTAAGACTTAGAAGACTTAAGCTTAAGACCACTAATTGCTATCAAGAAGTTTGAGGCTAGGCCAAGTTATGGAAACAGCCAAGATGCCCCACTATTGACAGATGGATCAAGAAAATGTGGTATTTATACACAACGGAGTTTTACTCAGTCATGAAGAAGAATGAAATCTTATCATTTGCAAGTAAATGGATGGAAATGGAGAACATCATTCTGAGCAAGGTTTAGCCAGGCTTAGAAGGCCAAAAATCCTATGTTCTCCCTCATATACAGACTTTAGATCTAGGGCAAATGCAGTAATATTATTAGACATGGGTCACCCACTAAGGGGAGAACACATATGGGAGGAATAGGGAAAGGTAGGAAACCCAAAACTTGAAAGTGTTTTTGGTGCCCATTGCAGAGGAGCTAATACAGTAACCTTAAAACGACAGAGGTCAATATGGGAAGGTAACCGGGAAGTAGTGAAGAGGTCTGGTAGAGATGAATTGATTCAGGTTGTAACACACATGTGCATGGAAGCAATGCTAGGAATCTCTCTGTATAGCTATCCTTATCTCAAGTAGCAAAAACGCTATGTCTTTTTTTTTTTTTTTAACTATTGCTTATGTCTTCTCTTTAACAAAATTGGAGAAAAGGACAGAACAGGTTCTGCCTGGAAGCGGGGCCAGGGGAGGAGATGGACCAAACAATGTATGCACATGTGAATAAATGAATTTTTCTTTAAAAAAAAAGAAGTTTAAGGCTAGAGAGAAAACGAAAAAAAATTAAAGGAGGGAGGGAGAGTGAGAGAGGTGGAGAGAGAATGAATGAATATGAATATAGGAATGAATTCTGGAGCCCAAGTATTCTCAGTAACAAAATTTCAACTTTATGGGTGAAAGTGAAGTTCAGACAGACTAAGCAACTCTCTGATCTTATATATATAGCTGGTCAGTGATGTGACACTTTGGATATAGATTAACACAGAATAAAGAAAGTGAAAATAAAATTTCTATTATTTCTTTAGGCATCAAAATGTTCATTTAATGAGCTGACTCTCTACGTCAAAGGACCAGATCCAGCATGGATGTTCACAGACAAGGAAATATTGCCTACCAGCCTTGTACTTTCCAAACTAGGTCAAAATGTCTTATTTCAGGTGGAATGTTCTGAAGGCCAGGGGACAATGCCCACAGAGCATGACCACGTATCTTGCAACCTCAGAGTGACTCTCCGAGGGCTGTTTAGGACATCACCACACTGAGGACAAGCCCATGATGCAATGCATAAAGAAATCAAAGAGGGCTGGAGATGTGGCTCAAGTGGTGAAGCATATGCTTTGTAAGAACGAATCCCTGAGTTTAAACCCCAGTCCCACAAAAAAAAAAAAAAAAAAAAAGGAAAAGAAATTAAAGGGCACACTGGGTAAAATGTGAGGGTGCCTAAGTAGATTGCCTAGAGATTCACAAGAAAAAGCACCATCAATTCAAGGACTTCGACAAAAATCTGTGTTTATAGATATGGACTTGTTGGCAGCAGAAAGGCAAAAACGAAGGAAAGCATATTTTAAGAGAAGAATAAATAAGATATATTTTGAATGGGGTTCTCATACAAACACAAAAGATGGCAGAAGTTGATGTGAAATAGTTTCTAAATCTACCCAAATCACCACCTTCTATAACAGGAATGAAAAACAGCACAAAAATGCAGATCTATATTTAAAACAAGGGGCAGGAGCTCATTTGTTTGGTATATCTTAAGACAGTCTTCCATTCACTTTTGAGCAGCTGGCACCAAAATAAAATCACGAAATTGATTTATTAAGGTAATATACACAGAGAGATTTACTCAATGGGAGAGCATCACTGTTACACAGAAGAAGAAAATAAGTCTATTTTTAGCACCACCAATCAACTTTCCTCACCATGGTTACAGGCTATGTTTCATAACTTTCCAGAATCACAGATGATTCAAAGTGACCTTGGTAGTAATTTAGACCAAATCTCATCTTTTATACATGGGGAAACTAAAGCTTAAAGGGGTAGGGGTAGATTGTCTGACATCATGAACCTTTTCTAAAATATCATAACCAGGACTCAGGTCTCCTCACTCATAAGGAATGAGGGGAAATCATTACCTCTTATGTCCTGAGTGTTTGTGTCTCCTCAAAATTCATATGTTAAGTATTTTCGGGTGGCAATGTGTTTGAACTCAGGGCCTTGCACTTGCTGGGCAGGTGCTATACTACTAGAACCATTCCCCCAGACCCCTCTTTTTTGGATTTGATTGTTTTTTGGATAAGGTCTTGCATTTTTGCCCAGGGTGAGCCTCAGACTTCAATCCTCCTACCTATGGCTTTTTGCATAGCTCGAATTATAGGCATGAATCACACAATAGGCTTACTTGTTGAGACAGGGCCTAATTTTGTACCTGGGCTAGTCTTGAACTATAGTCCTTCTGATCTCTACGTCCCAAGTAGCTAGCTTTACAATTATGAGCCACCATGCCTGACCCATATGTTGAATTTTAACCTCCAAGATGATGATATGATTACATCATAAGGGCACAATTGAGATTGATGCTTTTTATGAAAGAGAGCACAGAGAGCCAGCTAATCCCTTCTTGTGCATTCCAGAAACCAAAGAGTAGACTCTTACCAGATACCAATCTGCCCATGCCTTCAACCTAGACGTCTTAGCCTCCAGAGGTGTGATGAAGAAATGTCTGTTATTTATTAGCTAGCTAGTGTATGGCATTTTGCTATAGCAGCCTGAATGAACTAAGACATTACACCAGGAAAAATGGTATGCATTAATTTCTATCTGATTTTTATTTGTAGACTATATGAAATTGTTTCAGCAGTTAAAATTTACATGTTTCACAAGATTGAAGAAAACCTTTCAAACCACATTCTTATAGTTGTAACTTCAATGGAATTTGAAAATATAGATGAGTTTCATGCTGGCTCATGTTTTCTTAAGGTTTTACCTGTTTCTTCCTAGCCAAGGAGGCCCATCAGAAAAAGAAGAGCTAAGCCATGTGTATTGTACAGGCCTCTAAAGTTTGTTACTACAGAGATTTAATATTTATAAAAACTTTTCTATCTTTTAAATTTTCTTCCATTTCACTTTAATGTAGATGGGTATGCATACATATACACATATGTGTATATTTAGAAAGATCTCATTAATAACTTGGTATTTGGTAAGGGTATAGCGAATAAAAATGAAAACAATATAATTCTGATGTCTTATATTACTAAGTGGCATTCATTTTGAACCTCCAACCCAGAAAGTGAAGGTTCTCAACACTTTACAAAGAAATCTTTTATTCACTTACCTAGAAACCATTGCACGGGTTTACTATGTATCAGGCTCCATGTTATGAACTGAGACTTCAAAAGAGCTTATCTTTATGCCTGCTGAGTTCACAATCTAGTGGAGATAAGTCTGAACAGATACTTGTTGTCACACAGTAAGTACTTAACGGCAGCTGTTTAATGGAAACAATGGAAATAGGTTGGAAGGAGATGACCAAGAATCGTGGGGGTAACAAGAGAATGTCTGAAGAGAGGAGAAAATTGTCAAATGGGGTCTTGAAAGAGAAGGATTTTCCCAAGTAAAGAAGATAATAAGGAAAGTATTTCAGATGGAGGTCCCGGCCTGTGCAAGAGCAGAGATGAGAAGTGGAATGGCTCAGTTAGGTGCTGGCAGAACACCTCCTTCACACCTGTACCTCTCAGCTGCATGCTGGACAGTCTCACTTTAAATCTATAATCACCCATCTCCATGGGCCTCTAATGCTGCCCAGCAATTGCACTCCATTTCCTTGGTGCCATCTACCCTCCCACTCTCCCACACTATTCTTTCATGCCTCGTTATCTTTCTCTTCAACCTCCTACATTTCTTCCCTGATCCTGAATCTCAGCTAAGGAATGAACAAACTGCTATCTGGAGAAGTGACAGGTCATGAGGATGGAAAAAAGGTAGGGCCAGGTCAGAAGGCTTTAAGTGACACTCTGAAATTCATCCTTTATTTTCAGATACAGAGGGTAAGAGGAGGCCCCACACTTATCTCCACAAGAGAGGACTCTGGCAGAAGAATTCTAAGGGCCAAGATGGAGACAGGGAGGGCCAGTGAGGAAATTAACATAAATAACAAGTAATGAGCATCTGACTGAAGGCAGAGGCTATGAAACAGACAAAATGATCTTAGGGAAAATAATCAAAGGCGTATTTTGTGACTGACTAGTGGAGAGAGGGAAGGGAAAATTCCAACTTCTTAGCTGCACAATTATATTTACTTTTAATTCACTGGGTTTAAAGCTTATTTTCTCCAAGAAGTTGCCATTAACATAATTTTAATATACATAAAACTGTTTTCTCTACTTCTAGGATTATGTTTGTAATAATATTAAAACAATTATCATTTGAACTCAGGCCCAGATTTTTGAGAAAATTGAACCTTTAATCTTCCATGAGCAGTGTTGTTATTCCTGAGAATAACAACAGTTTTTTCATCAGGATGTTGTCATTCAGTTTTTTTTTTAGAAAAAGTAAATGCATAGAAAATACTTCAAAGTTTTCTAAATAATTGGCAAAACGTGTAACGGGAAACATGTAAATACTAGAATAGAAATCTGGCTATGCAGAAACTTTGCAAGTACATATATTTAAAAAGATATAGAGAGAGATAGTAAGAAGTAAATGGAAATATTTCTCTGAAGAAACCAGAAAGTATCAAAGCTCATCTAATGAAAGGGCACAGAGAACAGGAGGGTCTCCTAAATGAAGAGAGAACAAATTCTCATTCATTCATCATCTCAAACTTCCTTCCTTTAGGTGTCATCTGGGTTCTTCATGAAAAGGACCATTTTTCTTCCCATGCATGTTCCCAATAGTCACTGC